CAGAAAACTCCTTTATTCTTTTTTTTTTTTTTTTTTCGCTTTTTGGGTCACACCCAGCGATGCACAGGGATTACTCCTGGCTCTGCACTCAGGAATCACCCCTGGCGGGGCTCAGGGGACCATATGGGATGCTGGGAATTGAACCTGGGTTGGCTGCGTGCAAGGCAAACGCCCTACCCGCTGTGCTATTGCTCCAGCCCCAAAACTCCTTTACTCTTTCAGGAGCATTTTCACTCACATGGGACCCTGTGCACACTGCTGGGAACCGCAGGTCAGAGTGGTGTTGCTTTAGCGTGTTGAGGGTACTCAGAACGCTGTGACTGGGGGTGGCGATGCAGCCTACTTCCCGTGGCCCTGCGGCTGGGCATCTGTCACTGCATGACCATCAGAGAGGACTGCACAGGGCACTTGCTGTCATCTGGTCCCTTGCTGACTGAGCTCTGGCTGGGGGGGGGGGGATCAGAACTGGGTAGGTGGCACATAATTATTTGTGCTGGTTTCTTTGCCCTTCACTTTATTTTAAGCAGTCTTGCTTGCTTTTTTATCCTGACGAAGTCAGATTATTTCTGGACAGCCAAGTGATTTGCTTTCCAGAAGTGCCATGCCTATTTCCCTGCCATATTGAAGGCATTAATATGCGCCCTTATGGTACTAGCTCCGACGGGTGCTCTCGGCTGTCATCGCGGCTTGTCCAGGCTGGGACTAGCCACGCTCACATTGCTGCCCTCTGAGACTGTCCTTGTGTCAGCACCTCCCTGAGCTCGCACACTCGTGATTACAGTCCTTGGTAATAAAACTGAGTTTGAAAATGTGCACATAATTGCTTAATAAAAGTAAGTGTTCATTAAGGGAACTAATTATATCTTGTGGTTATCTTGAAGAACAGTTTAGAGCTTTCCAGAAACTGGTGACCTTCCCGCGGGTGACTCATGGCTGGCAAGCACAGAAACTGTGGTCTTTGCTGTAGACACTCAGGTCCTCCTCCTCCAGGGGGCTCAGCTCTGCCTTTTGATTCTGGCCTGACCGTGTCATTTGCTGTGCTGTGGTGTCAGCACACAGAAGCCTCCGAGGAGAACGGGGCTGCTCCAGCACAGGAACAGCATGTGCCAGCTGGCTGGTGGCCCTAGGAAGAGTGGGAGATGTAGCCCAGCTCCGGGACAAGGATGGGTCAACAAACAGTTGTAGCAGAGCAGGAAGAAATGGTTGTGACTTTCCGCTGCTGGGTGTAGGGGCTGTGAGACAGGACTTGCCAGAGAGACTGACACTGCACAGACTTAGGAACACGCAGGGTAGTGCGTCAGTCCTCTCTCCTGCACCCAGGGCTCAGCCCGATCAGTCTCCTCCAGCACCCTTATTCTGTTGGACATAGAGCTCTGAGCTCTCTCTTGTTCCCTCTGTTCCTGTCTCCATGTCTCCTGCCTCTCAGCTCACCAAGTCTGTTTGCTTCCATCCGCTTAGTTCCCAGAGCAGTGGAGTGTCAGGTCATGTTACTTCCCTACTTGATCTCCATAGACACAACCCCTGCCCTGGTCTCTGTCTCTGACAAGAGACAAGACCAGCCAAGGTGCCTGGCTCAGTGCTGTCCGTCCACCTTGCCCTCATTATGACCCCAGAGAAGACACAGGCCAGAGATGTGTGTGTAACAGCTTGAACCTCACCTTGTCCACACACTCACTCCTGGATGGGGTGGAATTAGAGTTGAGTCTTGGTGGCTGACAGGGAATGAGAGGTGTCAGCAGACAGTGAATGTAGGCAGAATTTCTGGGGCATTTTGCCAGAATTGAACAGCATGGAATATGACTTTCAGGGTGATTTGGAGCATAAGGAGCAGGGTGGTAGAGGAGTCGATGGGCTCGGAGCACGGGGCTCACCTGCTCTAGAGAAGAGAAGTCAGAGTCTAGAGAGAGGGGGGCAGGTGAGGACTGGAGTCTGCATGCCGGGGAACATGTGGACATGCTCTACTCGCTGTGCGTCTTTGCATGACTCATGAGTCTGATTCATTTGAATGCTCCCTGTTATCAAGGAAGCAGTAGTTGGGTGTGAGGATGAGAGGCGAAGGGGATACTAGAGATTGGAGAAGAAAGAGATGGTCATCTAGGAAAGGGTTGGGGTGAGGGGATGCTAATAGACCCCCAAGAGTGGTTTCTAGAAATCACTGAAATCTAGCTCTGAGTTGTTGAAAAATACAAATAACAAATACTAACATAGCATTTGTTGTTTCAGTCTCATGGAAGAATGGCCACACTCTCCAGATGCACAGGCTAGGAGATGTGGGGAGAATCTGAGCGCAGAATATTCTGACCAGGACATGTGTTTAGTGGAACCAGACTGATTTCTGCGAATTGGCCTATTTGCACTCTTGCATCCTCGAGTCCACAAATACGTGCTTTCCTTCCACTTAAATCTTTTTTCCCAAATTTTCCTCAATAGTATTTCATAGTTTCCATCGCTTTAACACACCCTTGATTCTCAGGAAGTTTGTACTTGGGGGTTATTGCCCATAATTTTGTTCACATGCAAAATGCAAGCAGTAAATATGCAACTTTCATATACTAACTGGTCAGTGATGCCAAAATAGTTTTTATATTTTATAAATTTTTCATGCTAATATATAGTTATTCCTATGGTTTTTATAGGTTAACCTGCTACTGGCAACCTTGATAAATTCTCTCATTAGTAGTTGTTTTGTGAATTAGTCTCACTTCTGAAAGCTGATTCTATTCGCCGTAGAGGTTTGCTGGTCTAAATTTGAAATATTTTGTGTGCTTGTTTCCTCCAGCATTTTAAAGATATCTTTAAAATGTTTTATGTATGTATTCAAAAGTTTCTGAACTCCTTTTAGTTGTTCTTTTGAAGAGAATTCCTTTTTCTCTGGTCTGTTTAAGATTTTGTGTCTTTTGTCTTCGGGCGCAGTTGGGCTATGATATACCAGAGTATGATTTCTTTGTATTTGCATTTTGATTTACTGAGGTTCTTAAACTGGTGGATTGAGGTTTTGGAAGAGAATTTTTCATGGTCTCTTCAGATACTGCTTCAGGCTGGTCCTTTTCTCGGCCCTGCTCGTGCGGATGCTGTCCCTTTGAGATGTGAGCGCACAGGCGTGATTCCCACTGAACCTTTCCTGTCGTGTGCTGGCCCTGTCCTCTGCTGCACCCAGGACTGGCCAATTCCCAACAGGGAGATCGGACACTGCAGGAATGCCGCACACATTGTCACTGTTCATTGATTTTGCTCGAGCGGGCCCAGTAACGTCTCCATCATGAGACTTTGTTGTTACTGTGTTTGGCATATCAAATACATCACGGGTAGCTTGCCAGGCTTTGCTGTGCGGGCGAGATACTCTCGGTAGCTTGCCGGGCTCTCCGAGAGGGGCGGAGGAGTCGAACTCAGGTCGGCCATGTTGGCTGTGTGCAAGGCAAATGCCCTACCACTGTGCTATTGCTCCAGCCCTCCGCACACATTGGCAAGTGAGAATTTAGGTTCCTGACCACAGTTCCTCTTCCCACGCTTCACAAAGTTTGCTTGGACTCTGGCACTGTGTCTTCTTTCTGATGTAGGTATCTATTGAGGTCGAGCAATCACATGTGTGCTGGTAATCAGTTGTAAATCAATTTTAAAACCCTCCTACCTCCTGCTATGTGACCTCACCTGGGACCTTGACCCACAAGTAAGAAATGTGGGAATAGACCACAGAACCCTGGCTGGCTTTGGGCACTAGCAGGAGCCTGCACAGAGCCCACACACTGTTAGGGTCTGGGGCAAACAGTAGTGTGGTTTGTGTGGCCTCACAGCATAGGAGACAAATACAGATCTCCCCCTGTGGTGAAGTGCACCAGGCCCTGGAGTTTGGCAGAGCCATGAAGGACACCTTGGATGTAATCGAGTACACAGGGATGTGACCTTGAGAGAAGGATGCTCCAGCTTCCGGTTGGGGCCGAGGTGTTGGTGCAGGAGGAGACCAGGAAGCCTGGGTCATGCAGGGGATCCTGCCCAGGACAAGGCCTGTGCACTTGCGTTCACTCCCTCGGGCTTACCGGGGAAAGGCTGGCTGGTGGGGGCCCTGGAGGAGAGCAGGCGTAGCTGTTATTGGCGGCCCAGGTGAGGACAGGATGGCAGTTGGGATGAGTTGATGATGTGGCAGACTGAGGAGGGTTTGAGACACTTCATGAAGAAATCTCGTAGGTGGCGGTGATCCTTTTGGACTTGTAAACAGGATTATTCATCCATCTCTAGATGCCGTCCTCCTGGTTGCACCTAAGGGCCATGCTGGTGTATCACAGCCAGTATGGCTTGGCTTTAGTCCAGAGCCAGTCAGTAGGCTCTGCTGTAACTCAGTGAGCAGGAATAATCTTAGTAGTTGCCTCTGACATGGGAGAAACATCGAGGGGCCACAGGCTGTAGGTTTTTCCTATAGTCTTTTCAGGTCACATGTGAGTATAAAGTCTAGTCTTTGTAAGAGAGATGAAAAAACACCTGTGAATCCATAAGGATTCTTTTCTCCTCACCTAAAACCATGCCCAGGGGCTAGAGTGATAGCACATCAGGCAGGGTGTTTGCCTTGCACACGGCCGACCTGGGTTTGGTTCCCAGCATCCCATATGGTCCCCCAAGCACCACCAGGGGTAATTCCTGAGTTCAGAGCCAGGAGTAACCACTGTGCATCATCAGGTGTAACCCAAAAAGAAGAAGAAAAAAAAAACAACCAAAAAGCATGCCCAGTGTTTTCTTTCCTGTGTAACCCATTTTAGTTTTATTATCAAGACTTGAAGTTTTTTTTTTATCGTTGATGGAGAAAAGCAGGAAGGGAACATGGAAATGGAAGCTCCCATGGCTCCTGTTCCTGCTAACTGTGCCGAACTCACACCTGTGCACACTCGCAGTCGCTCACTCTCACACTGCTGGAAACCGTGGAATGGACCGGCTTGTGTTTGGGTCTGATATCCCGCTGGCTGTAACCGCTGACCATGGCTCTAACGTGCCCACCCTGTGGCTCTTTGCAGGTGTGTTCTGCTGCCACTCCTGGGCATGAAACCCCCGCCGCAGAGCCTGTTCGTGCTGGTGGACTCAGTGGACGAGGGCTGCGGCGTGGCGGAGGGTGAGCACGCGGCTGCCAGCTTCTCCGGGACCGTCGCTGAGCTGCTTGCCTCCCACCACGACTTCTTCCCCCCGTGGCTGCTGCTTCTCTGCTCAGCCCGCAAGCAGAGCAAGGCCGTGACCAAGCTGTTCCCCGGTAAGCAGGGCTGTGGCCCTACCCCCAGCCTGACCCCCACTGGGCTAAGCTTGTCCGCAAAGGGCCCCTCCTCCCCACGGCCACTCCTGTAGTCCCCTAATGTCGGACACAGCAGGGGGGATGCACAACAGCAGCTGCTCAGCCCGGCCAGCAGCGGACCGGACGTGTGGTGCCATATAGGGAGCAGCTGACTCTGGGCAGGAGCCGGGGTCTCACCCCAGGGGTTCCACCAGGGCCCCTTGCACAACCAGCTGCACTTAGGGCTCGGGAGAGCTTTGGGTCTGGGGTATGCAAGGAAAATGGGTTTGGCAAGGCCATCCGCTGGTTCTCCAGCACAGGAAGCGAGAGGACCCCAGGTATGTGCCCTGCCCCCACCATGCTCTCACCCTCCTCCACCGCCGCCACCACTGACTCTCTGGGGCGCTCAGCTTGTGGCGGGTCCTCGAGCTCCTCCCACCACTGTGTTGTGGCTCTCCAGTGTGGCAGGCCTCAAGACTGCACAGAGGCCGTGCAAGGACAGGGCAGTGCTTGTCCAGTGTGCTCCTCAGGGCCTCACCTCTGTCCCGCCTTTGAACTGGCCTTTTCTAGTCTCCCAGCCAGAACCTATGCCTCCCAGAGTGTGTTTGGGTTTGGAGAATTTTGCTTTCGGGTGGAGCCTGAAGGTCCTGGTCCCAGCTTCTCTCCTGCTCTGCTTTCTGCTCTTTCTCTTTCAGCCTCTAGCTCCTTTGACTCTGCTCTTGTCTCCATATCTGTCCTCTTTTCCTCAGGTCTCCCGCTGTCCACCCCTGTGTAAGCATTTGATCCCTGTGGTCCCTGCCTGGGGCCCCTCTGCACCCTGCTTCTCCCACAGCTGTCACACAGCTGGGACAGGCGACCAAGGAATTTGAACCTTTTTTTTTTCCTTTTTGTGATGGAAACAGCAGTGAACTTGGGTGGGCTCTGAAGAAACTGGATTTTCCTTGAGCTGCTACCTCAGTGCTGATCACCTCTGACTATACCCCTGTTGAGGATGGATTTGGAATTTGGGTTAGCCTTTTAGAATATTTAGGTATTAACACATTGCCAAGTTGCCTTCCAGAAAGATGCATAATATGCTATTCCTACCTTAAACCTACCCCCAGTAACTGTCTTTTTATAATATTTGGTTGTGAAAGTTGTATTTCATATTTATATGAACTCTTTGCCCTTGAAAGCTTTCTTCCTTGAGCTGATGTTCTGGTGTTTTTCTTCTATACCAACCCCTTTACCATCAGTATCAAATTTCTAAGTTATATATTCTTACCTGATCTTCTAGAAGGGCTGGAGTGATACCACAGTGGGTAGGGCCGTTTGCCTTGCACACAGCTGACCCGGGTTCGATTCCTCCACCCCTCTCAGAGAGCCCAGCAAACCACTGAGAGTGTCCCGCCCACACGGCAGAGCCTTGCAAGCTCCTCGTGGCCTATTTGATATGCCAAAAACAGTTAACAACAAATCTCACAATGGAGACGTTACTGGTACCCGCTCGGGCAGATGGATCAACAATGGGAGGACAGTGCTACAGATCTTCTAGATTTTAGTAGTAGCACATCTTAAAACTTACAACTGCTGATGATGTAATCCTCCCCCAAAGATCATTAAATTTGCTTAAATCTTTCAATTTAGATGAAGTTTGACATTTTAAACATGTATTCAGAATGAAAATTGGCAGGTATATCAACTTAGAGCAGTGACTTTAAGAGATATTTCTATCATGTCTACTTCAGTTTCTTCTGCTATCTCCATTGATAACATGTTATGAATATTTTCTCTTTCCTGATATATTTATTGTAGCAATGAGTAGCATTTTGAACAGCTTTAGATTAGAGTTTAAGTTATAAAAAGCACTTTGTTGTTCAGGGCTTATAGGCTAACAGCTGTTTGTGCTTATTATGAATGACAGTAATTGTCTGAAAACATTTTGTACACAAAAATATTAACCCTCCAACATTTTTGAAGATTCTTACTTTACTGTATAATACCACAGAAATCAGAGATTAAGTAAAATTTAAAATTGTTATATTCTGTATTACCCAGCCCAGGTTGAAATCAGACTTTAATATCAACACAATTTCATATATTTTTTAATAGTAACACTCTGGGCAATTTACCCAATCTTCCTTTAACCTTCTTATTGTTCAAGTGAGGGACCCTATTTCATAGTGTTTCCAGAGCAGAGTTCTGGAGGACAGGTCCTTCCCTGAGGAGAGGTCTGGAGGATGGGATTTTACTCAGGAGAGGTCTGGAGGACAGAACCTTCCCTGAGGAGAAGTCTGCACGACAGGTCCTTCCCTGAAGAAAGGTCTAGAGGACAGGTCCTTGCCTGGGGAGTTCTGGAGGACAGGTTCTTAAAGTACAGCTTGCAGAGACTTGGCTAACAGTAAACGGCCCCTTCTTAGTAACTGAACTGGTGCTCTGGGAGTTTCCATATTGTGTTTTTTCTTCTCAGTTTCCATCATACTACCTTACTAGGTTTAAGTCATAGACACTTGTTTGAAATAGGCAGTATCATCTCTTGTTGCGTTAAGGCACGGGTTGGAACCCAGGGCCTCATTCATGCAAGGCAAGTGTTCGTCTGCTGGGCCACATCCTTGGCCCAGTAATGCGATCTTTTATGTGAATCTCTCAGTAAAGACAAGATCACTCTGGAGACCTCCAGTCATCGTACAGTGTAAGGTAGCTATTACTCTGTTAGTTTTTGTTAGCAAAGTGCATGTGTTCTCCTTTACATTGTTTTAATGAATTTCTAGTGCTTGGAGTGAATGAAAACGCAGACAGGTGTGGAGGATAATTATTACAGATCAAGTGGTGGCAAAGGTAGATTATTATTAATTTCTAGGCATGTTTAAAATTCTCGTTAGATCAAGAATATCTTCTTTTATAATTAAAATGCATTTTTAAAAATGACTTCTGTTGAAAATAATCACTATATGTATATTCAGTTCTCTATCTATAATTATATATTCCATTTTAGGTATATGTATATGTGTGTAATTACAGGTTCTGTTTTAAGTGTATGTATATATAATTACAGATTCCGTTAGGTGTATGTATATATATAATTACTGGTTCTATTTTTTCATACATGTATATATATAATTGTATATTCCATTTGGCTATGTTTCTATTTTAGGCATATGTAAATATAATTAGATTCCATTTAGACATATGTTGATATAATTACATACTTAATCCAGAAATACATATCTTAACAGTTATACGTGTATATGTATATATGTGCCTACTTCATTTCGGTCGTAGGTGTTTTTGAGTATGTGGATAAGCATTTGGGTCTTGGGGCTACACCTGATGGTGCCTGGAGCTGCTCTCAGCTCAGTGCTTAGGCATTGTTTACAATCATGGCATTGTTTACAGAGACATGGTACCAGACCCATTGAACCTGGGTCTTCCACAGGCAAAGCCTGCATCCAGCCTTTGTGCCATCTCCCTTGCCCCTCCAGATTTCTAAAGAATTTCTTAAACATTTTCTATAGGGGCCACTCAGTCCTCAGTACTTGGGAGCCCAGAGCCACTCCCAGTGGTCCTAGTGAGTGGGAGGAGTGGGGGTGCGTGTGCTGCCAGGGACAGATCTCAGTGTCCTGTATGTGCTGGCCATGGGGTCTGCCACTTATCCATAGTCGTGGCTCTGCAGTTCCACTTTAGGTGTGCATATATATTTGTAATTACAGATTTCACTTTAGCGGTGTGTGTGTGTAAGAGAGAGGGAGGGAGGGGGAGAGAGAGAGGGAGGGGAGAAAGAGAGAGGGAGGGGGGAGAAAGCAAGAGAGAAGACAGATTTTATTTATGTGTATCTAATTACAGATCCCATATTAGGTATGTGTATATATATGTTACAGATTTCATTTAAGTGTACATATAGATGTGTAAGTGCAGATTTTTTTTAGATATGTCTAATTACAGATTCCATTTAAGATGTATATATAATTATAGATTCCATTTAAGTGTATATATGGATAATGCAGATTTCTGTTTATAGATGTCCGTATAGTAACTGCAGGTTTTATCTGTGGTATTTGTGTATAATTAGATTCTGAACCTTTGTATAGGTTTGGAACTTTGCAGATATGTTGTTTCTTTGTGTATTCTCGGTCAGTTGTATGTTTCCTTAAATTTGCACATGGGATCTAAGTGCCTCTAGCTGAATGATACAAAGCAGAGTATGTCAGCTCTCTGCTCCCAGCCCTGTAGGGACCTCTGACCCCACCCCACTGCCAAGCTCTTCGGCGGTGCTGCAGACACTGCTCTCTCTGCCGTTTGCTAAGCTCAGTGGGCAATTCCCAGATCCACCTTTTCCTTTGTCTTTACTGCAGCTGCAGTTGCTTAGGTCGTGCTAATTCCCGTCTGAACCCTCGTGCCCCTCCTCCCTCCACACTGGCTCTGTGCTGACAGTGTCGTGTGCACCGCGCATATCTGGTCCCTTTGGCCAAGGATCCCCAGCTGCTCCCCCAGGCAGGTCTCATCTGTCTCCCCTCCTCAGGCTGCCTGGAAAGTGTTGGCGAGACGGGTGCATTGCTCCATGGGGGAGGAAGTTCTCAGTGTCTACTGAGCTCCTGCCTTCCTCTCTCTTCCTAGGGGCTGTGTGCTTCTGCAGTGGGTACACCGCTTGTCTGCCTCTTTCAGAGGAGCTCCCTAGAGAGGAGGCAGGGAGAACTTTCTAGTGACAATTCTCTTACGCCTTTAGTTAGGCTTGAGTTGAGGGAGTTGCTACGTTTTTGCAATGCTGATGTTTTGTTAACGTGATTTGGGTGAGTTGCCTGCGAAGGGTCAACGTATGAACAGTCTGGGATAGAATCATTTGAATTTGGAAACATGCCCTATGGTGTACTTGAAAGGCAAGTGACATTCCCTTAATGATGGTTGATGTGCTGGGATGTGTGATAGAAACAGCTAAGGTTTTTATACGGGAACGGCTGGCCTGTCTTTCTTTGCCCTGTCATCAGGGGTTACCTCATCAGTGCTGCTGTGGGTATATGCTTGCATCCAGGGCTGGGATGTGCAGAGGGGCACAGAGCTGGTGGGAGGATCAGTGCCCCCTAGAAGGGAGAGCTTGTGTCTGTCATCGGTGGGGAGTCCCTGCTTTGTCAGGAGTGGTTTGTTATCAGTGACTGGGATGATGACACACTAGAGTCATTTCCTGTACCTGGTGGCAGCTCTGCAGTCCCTTTCGGCGATGACCTTTCCCTTGCTTCCTTGCAGGTTTCCGGAAGATCAGCCTCGATGACCTCCGAAAGGCCTACATCGTGAAGGACGTGCAGCAGTACATCTTGCACCGCCTGGACCAGGAGGAGGCTCTGCGCCAGCACCTCACCAAGGAGACGGCGGAGATGCTCAACCAGCTGCACATTAAGAGCAGCGGCTGCTTCCTCTACCTGGAGCGGGTTTTAGATGGCGTCGTGGAGAGCTTTATCATGCTCAGAGAGATCCGTGACATCCCGGGCACGCTCAATGGGCTCTATCTCTGGCTGTGCCAAAGACTCTTTGTGAGAAAACAGTTTGCAAAGGTCCAGCCTATTTTGAATGTGATTCTTGCCGCCTGTCGACCTTTGACGGTGATGGAGTTGTATCATGCAGTGTGGACCAAAAACATGTCCCTCACGTTGGAAGACTTCCAGCGCAAGCTGGACGTCCTCTCCAAGCTTCTCGTCGACGGCCTCGGCAGCACCAAGATCCTTTTCCACTACAGCTTCGCCGAGTGGCTGCTGGACGTGAAGCACTGCACCCAGAAGTACCTGTGCAACGCTGCGGAGGGGCACCGCATGCTGGCCATGAGCTACACCTGCCAGGCCCGGCACCTCTCTGCCCTGCAGGCGCAGGAGTTTGCCTTGCACTTGGTCAACTCCAACCTGCAGCTGGAGCCCGCCGAGCTGGCGCTTTGGATGATCTGGAATGGCACACCAGTCCGCGATGCCCTGTGCACCCTCATCCCCAAGGAGCAGGAGGTCCTGCAGCTGCTGGTGAAAGCAGGCGCCCACGTTAGCAGCGGGGACGAGCGCGCCTCAGGTATTGTGCGGCAGGCCCTGGAGAGGGAGGACTCCATCCGGACGCTGCTGGACAATGGCGCCTCCGTCAACCAGCGTGACTCCAACGGGAGGGCGCTGCTAGCCAACGCTGCCTACAGCGGCAGCCTGGACGTCGTCAACCTCCTGGTGTCTCGGGGGGCCGACCTGGAGGTGGAGGACGCTCATGGGCACACGCCACTGACACTGGCTGCGAGGCAGGGCCACACCAAGGTGGTGAACTGTCTGATCGGGTGCGGCGCCAACATCGACCACACCGACCAAGATGGCTGGACGGCTCTGCGGTCCGCTGCCTGGGGTGGCCACACCGAGGTGGTCTCCGCCCTGCTCTACGCGGGTGTCAAGGTAGACTGCGCAGATGCCGACAGCCGCACCGCTTTGAGGGCGGCGGCCTGGGGTGGCCACGAGGACATCGTGCTGAACCTGCTGCAGCACGGCGCAGAGGTCAACAAAGCTGACAATGAGGGCAGGACGGCGCTGATAGCAGCGGCATACATGGGCCACCGGGAGATTGTGGAGCACCTGCTGGAGCACGGCGCTGAGGCCAACCACGAGGATGTGGACGGCAGGACAGCACTCTCTGTGGCTGCCCTCTGTGTGCCTGCCAGCAAGGGCCACGCATCCGTCGTCAGCCTCCTGATTGACCGAGGGGCGGAGGTGGACCACTGTGACAAAGATGGCATGACCCCACTGCTGGTGGCCGCCTACGAGGGCCATGTGGATGTAGTGGACCTGCTGCTCGAGGGGGGTGCCGACGTGGACCACACAGATCACAACGGCCGCACGCCCCTGCTGGCGGCAGCCTCCATGGGCCACGCGTCGGTGGTGAACACGCTGCTCTTCTGGGGCGCCGCAGTGGACAGCATCGACAGTGAGGGTCGCACGGTGCTCAGCATAGCCTCAGCACAGGGCAACGTGGAGGTGGTGCGCACCCTGCTGGACCGGGGCCTGGACGAGAACCACAGGGATGATGCAGGCTGGACGCCACTGCACATGGCAGCCTTCGAGGGCCACAGGCTCATCTGTGAGGCACTCCTGGAGCAGGGCGCCCGCCCCAACGAGATGGACAATGACGGCCGCATCCCCTTTATCCTGGCCGCCCAGGAGGGCCACTACGATTGCGTGCAGGTCCTGCTGGAGAGCAAGTCGGCCATTGACCACCGTGGCTACGATGGCCGGAATGCCCTGCGGGTGGCCGCCCTGGAGGGACACCGTGATATCGTGGAGCTGCTCCTCAGCCATGGCGCCGACGTTGACTATAAGGACGCTGATGGCCGGCCCACGCTGTACATCCTGGCGCTGGAGAACCAGCTGGCCATGGCTGAGTACTTCCTGGAGAACGGCGCCGACGCCGAGGCCTGCGACGCGGAAGGCAGGACTGCACTGCACGTCTCATGTTGGCAGGGACACCTGGACATGGTACGGGTGCTCCTGGGCCACCAGGCCGACGTCAACGCCGCTGACAGCGAGAAGCGCTCAGCCCTGCAGTCAGCAGCCTGGCAGGGCCATGGGAAGGTGGTGCGGCTGCTGCTGGAGCGCGGTGCCGGAGTGGACCACACCTGCAACCAGGGTGCCACCGCGCTCTGCATTGCGGCCCAGGAGGGCCACCTGGACGTCGTGCAGGTGCTGTTGGAGCGTGGTGCCGACCCCAACCACGCTGACCAGTTCGGCCGCACAGCCATGCGTGTGGCAGCCAAAAATGGCCACTCGCAGATCATGAAACTCTTAGAGAAGTATGGTGCCTCGAGCCTCAACGGCTGCTCCCCATCCCCCGTGCACACGATGGAGCAGAAGCCCCTCCCATCAGCCTCGGCCAAGGGGCAGGCGCTGACCATCAAGTCCAGCAGCTCAGGGAGCACGGGTGGGGGTGATGCGCCGCCCTCTCTGCGTGGCCTGCCCAGCGGCCCGGCCCACGCCTTCAGCTCCCCGTCTGAATCGCCTGACTCCACTGTGGAGCGCCACAAGTCGTCACTGTCCAACAACTCCCTCAAGAGCTCCCAGAACTCTTCGCTGCGGACCACGTCCTCCACAGCCACGGCGCAGACGGTGCCCATGGACAGCGTGCCCGGCCTGTCCTTCACTGAGCAGATCCAGCAGCACTCCCTGCCTCGCTCCCGCAGCCGCCAGTCCATCGTGTCCCCCTCCTCCACCACACAGTCCCTGGGCCCCAGCCACCGTTCCCCCAGCAGTGAGTTTGAGTGGAGCCAGGTCAAGCCCAGCCTGAAGTCCACCAAGAGCAGCAAAAGCGGGAGAGCGGATGGCGTCGGCAAGGCAGGCTCGGCAGGCAGAAAGACCAAAGCCAGCCACTCGACACAGCCAAAGGTGCTAGAATACGAAATGACCCCCCTCGATGCCAGGGGCCTCCCTGCCCAGACGGGGAGCGGGGGACCCCACAGAATGGCTTCCTCGGACCTTCCCTGCCAAGTGGTCATCCCGCCCGCCCCACAGGACGTGGGGCGCTCCCAGCAGCAGCTGCTCATCCAGCAGCAGAGTGGGGAGCAGAAGAAGAGAAACGGCATCATGACCAACCCCAACTACCACCTGCAGAGCACCCAAGTGTTCCTGGGGCGCGTGTCTGTGCCCCGCTCCGTGCCCGACCGGGGGCGGCAGGAGGTGCCTGAAGGCTTCCCGCCCTCCGACACAGAGCTCAGCCTGAAGCAGGCGCTGAAGCTGCAGCTCGACAGCCCCGACCCCAGCTTCAACTACAAGAAGGAGACGCCCTTGTGAGGTAACCTGCCTCTCACCGTGGCAAGGACATGTCAGAGGGCGCTCTCTGGCTGCCCACCCTGCCCTCCCTCCGCCCCCGTCCCCACCGCTACCCAGCCCCACCCCTGGTCCCCCTCCTCCTCTCCGCAGTCCCTGTCCAAAGTGCTGCTCTTGTCAGATGTTCACATTGCTGTATGTCTTTTCCGTCACCATGTGCGTGGCTGGCTTTCTAAGGGACACACTCATGAGTGGGACACATGTAGGCTACTCAGAAGCCCGAGCTGGGGACAGAGTGTCTGTCCTGGACAGCTCACCTCCTCACACTGTTCTGATGGTGGAGTGGTATCTGGGGTGGTCTCCAATCTGGTGAACATGTGTCACTGACATCTGCTGAGAGCAGTCTGGGACGTAAAGGGCAGCGCTGACGACAGCAGACGTTTACAGAATCTTGCTGTGAATTGTGCATGCTATGAGGACAGATGAGACTCACAGGCGAGCTCTTAGCACCTCGTTGTCATGACACATGGTGGTCCCTGCTGTGTGGAGGGAGGGAGGGACGGAGGGAGGGATGGCTACACTCAGGTGGTCCCTGCCTGTGCATGGTGACCAGCGCACTCAGTCGTGGCCCCTGCACGTGCAGGGATGGCTGGCACATGGGCCGTGTTTCCAGTCATACCTGCTGGATCGCCACACTGATGGGTCTTGCTGACTATAATAGACCTGCTCACCTCACCTCCCCTTCGCCTTCCAACCTCTGCCAGTGGCAGTCTTCAGCCAGCAGAAATCTCTGGCTTCTTTCACTGTTGGAGAGATAGATAATGAAACGTGATTATAAATCACCACAACCCTTCCCCTAGTAAACAGCTGCTTCTGGGAACCCTGCCCGGTTGACAGATCAGAATCACACGAATCTGCAGTCCGTCCTGCACTCCAATTATTCTAGAGCACACGTGTTCTGATGGTGCGCTTTTCCAGGCCTCACTGTATCCTCTGTAGAGTCACAGTGCTGCTGAGCATTTGTGGACTGTTGAAGTGGGCCTTGAATGTGAGTCCTGAATGGGCATATCTCAGTGCTTCTCAGAAAGTGTGTTGGTGCACAGATAATCTCCAGAAGGGCTTCAGACTCTGAGCATAAGTGATCAGCAGATGCAGAATACAGAAATTAACTTTGTTTTTAACTTTCACATTAGTGTCCTCTTCCATGAAACGTGTGGCATCATGGCCGGAGCAGTTCTGCAGTACTGGACGGAAACCTGATGCAGGTTTGGTGAGAGGAAGAAGCGGTTCTGCGAGTTTTCTGTGGTTGTGACATGCCTCCCGCCCGCAGCTGGCTGCTTCTCAGTGTCACCACTGGGCTCAGGCCTCTCTGTGTGCTTGGACCCCCCACTAGGACTCAGCACTTTTTTATGTAGGTATGGACTGCAGTGCCCGAGAAACGCTGAAAAAGATTTGAGTATTTTAAGTTAAGATTTGATGAACGTGCATGTGCCATGATCAAACACATATGAAAAGTGTTCTTGTATTTATTTTTTTCCTTTTGTGGCACCTACACGTGCACATTCTGTTTGTTGCGTCCGCCCTGTCCGTTTGGTCTGTTCCTTGTGTATCTTTGCAAGTGTCGCTCAATAAAGGAAATCGCACACGTCTTTTGATGTTCACTGCACCATCAGCCTGGGCGTAAAGTGAGTTTCCATTCAACGCCACCTCGAGGTTTTTAAAAAAAGTTTCTGGACAGAAGGTGTCAGATTTTTCAGACTTCGGGAGCAGCTCTGGTCTTCGAGTTGAATTTGGACTTCCCAGTAGAATGGGCTAGGTTCCCATGCTGGCCAGAGCCAGACCCTCTCGGCTCCTGATCCTGAGCATGGAGCCTCAAGGACATGGCCTGGCACAGTCCCACGGGCAGTTGGTGCCCGGGGTCCCCTGACCCAGTTCTGGGCCGCCCTCTCTGTTTGATGAGCTTGAGTGTCACATGTGAACATCCGCACTTGCTTTGCACCCAGCTGTCCCTAGGTCATAAATCCCTGACCACCATAGGTGCTCCCTCAGCACCCCCTCAGCACATCGGGTCCATGCAGTGGGGACTGGGGTGTATCCCCCAGTGCTGCGCAGGCTCTTTGCTGCTCCCATAACAGGAGTGAGGGGGTTGGACCTCACTGCCTCCTTCCCGGCCTCCTTTGTACCGTTGCTCAGGGGACAGTGGAATACCAGGCTGAGAAGGCATCTGTCCTCAGGGAAGCGGAGTGGACTCTTCCCAGGAGCTCCAGCCCCTGCCTGTACCCTGCAGGGCTGTGCTGGCTTCTGTGCCCAGAGAGGCTGGACTTTGTTGTGTAGAGGCCTGGGTGGTGGCCCTGGCCATGGAGGAGCCCTGAGGTGCAGTTATGGCTTGTGCTGCTGAGGAGTGGGAACGACGGAAGAGCTTTGGAGACTGACTGCTGTCCACCCTGGGTGTCTCCTGGGGTCCAGGTGCCAGGGGGGATGGGCTTCCACTGTGCTTCATGGGACATGAGTGGAAGGCTTCACTCTTGCGTTTGTCTCACCACACCGGTAGCCCGTAGCTTTCTGTCTGCTCTGTCTGCTCTGCATCGCATCAGAAATAAGAGTTGGGCTGTGTGTTTGCATGCTGTGGTGCCCCGGAAATATCGATAAGTCGATTATGAATGTTTCAGGTGTTGAGTTTTGTCCCTATGGGACTTTTAATAGAACTCTTGCAAAGCAGCCTTAAAAGTGTTGACGATCCTATTAATAAATCCGAACACAAGCTATTTTGAACCAACTTAACTCCTGTCACAAATGCCATGAAGCTCTCGTTTGTTCCAGTATTTTTCTTTAGGACGAGAATCCTGAAAGCTGCCGGTTTTTCTATTAACTTTGAACTATCGTATTTATTTAACTTTATTGTTTTTACAAAAGCGCACCTTGTGGCCAAAGGGCAGAGCTATGATTCCTTATGTGAGGGACGATGATCTTCAGAAGACTCGAGGGTTCACGTCCACGCCACAGACCCGTGAAACAGTGCTTGAAAGGAGCGCTGTTGGCCAAGAGTCGCCCTGAATCTTCGAAAGTCGCTGCTTCTTCATGTAGCAGCACAGGGAGGGCTGTGAGCAGGGCCAGGTCAGTGAGTGCTGGGCGCACCCCTCCCAACCTCCCAGTGTGAATCAGAAACAAGCTATTTTTGACATAAGATGTTTAGATTTTGTAAATGACCCGCTGCCACTGCAGGATCCTTGTGCATAAAACACCGGCATTACATTCCACTCTGCCCATTGTTGAGAAAGACGGAGGAATGAAAATGCAGGAATGAAACGGAAAACTCCAGGTACTTACAGAAGGAAAAGTGACCGGAAGTCCATGTGCACTGTGAGCACGACCAGTGTAGCGTCTGCTGTCCTTGACCTGTCCTTGACATTCCTCTCCAGCACTTCATGTACATGGTGAGCACAGCCAGCCCCTCCCTCCTGTCCCTATCCCTGTCCTGCCCCCACCCATGCACACTTCAAACACAACCAGCCCTCCTGTCCCGGCCCCTCCCCGTGTACACTGCAAGCACAGCCATCCCCTCCTGTCCCTGTCCCTGTCCTGCCCCCAGCCTCTCCCCATGTACACTGTGAGCACAGCCAGCCCCTCCTGTCCATGTTCCTGTCCTGTCTCCAGCCCCTTCCCGTGTACGCTGCAAGCACAGCCATCCCCTCCCTCCTGTCCCTGTCCTGCCCCCGTCCCTCCCCATGCACACTTCGAGTACCACTGTCCCCTCCCTCCTAACCCTGGCATGTCCCCAGCCCCTCCCTGTGTACACTTCAAGCACAGCTGGCCCCTCCCTCCTGTCCTTGTCCCGCCCACTCCCCCAGTTCCTGTCTTCAAGCCTAGGAGCAAGCCCTCTTCTCAGTGTTGTTCGACTATGCAAATGTTTGTTTTGCTTCTCGCCTACATTTATACTTATCATCCAGTGTGGTCACAGTTGATTGCTTCCTTTTAGTTTTTCCCTTGGTTTGGGCTATGTAAATAACCTAAAATGTACATTGAATTTCACATTGTAAAAGTTTTATTTTATTCCTTGTACTATATTCAGCAAAAATCCCTGTGTATATGAAAGTGCATAATAAATATATTTGCTTTACAGAGGATATCTTGTTTTAATTTTATCCTGGAACCAACAGAACACGTGTGACAAGCTTACAGTAAAAACAGCTAATTTTACATTGCTGACTTATTTTAGTAAATATGAGAGGCTGAACTTGGAAACATTTTGCAAAGGAGAAATGAAGTAGAAAAACTTTGAAGGATGATAGAGAAGGAACAAGACTTATCCTCTCTATCTTCCTAGAGCTACTTTGAGGGCTCGCTGTAGTCCCGTTGTTTATCCTGATGGGGTTCATACTGGACTCCAACATGTCTGAGAATTCCAGTAAACTCTGTGTTTATTCAGAAAGCCCTGATCATCGTAGTTGTGATATTTTGGCATCTTTTTGCAAACATAGTTATTCATTTTCTAAATCTCCTTGTGTCCTCACTTGGTGACCTATCACTGTGTCTGTGTATGCAGAAGGATCTGTATATAAATGCTTATTACTTCAAAGAGAATAAACTTTCAAAGAAAGCCAACAAGCAACTTTCTGTCCAAACATTTTATGACAACTACAGAGCTCAGTGGCAATTTATATTTTAAATTTTTGAGATGAATAAGACTATTTTAGTGAAAATGCTTAAACACAAAAGGATAGAATACCTAGAAGAAAGAATTTTACAACAGACATGTGTGAGCTAAACTTAGGTGGAGTTTTCTAGTTGATCTTGCAAGGGAGTGACCTGTGAAAATCTGTTGCTGACTGAGGGTTTCACACCTTTGTCCCAGTGCTTGGGCAGATTCTGAGCAGTGTGGATTCAGCTGGATTTCGGAGAACTCATTCATCATGCAAACCTATTTGCAATCATGATTTTCCTGATAGAGCCTCTGCTTTCATGCATTACTTTTACCTTAGAATTCAAGTTAAATGATTCAACTTCACAATGAAACCATTTGAAGTTTATGCATGTTTAGATTTCTGTTCATGTATCTACCTCATTCACACACTGGCAAACTTCAGCTAAATAATGACAAGTGTAGTCTCAGAAGAATCTACTTGTGAGGTTCAGAAGACCTGGTGTTCTTTAAGCTTCTCATTTCTTCTTCCTCTGCATGTGAGACAGTTGATAGAATGGTAAGTTTCGAAGAAATCGTGCTACATGTTTAATGCGTGTCTTGTGAGAAATTGTTTATAAGCTGAACTTGAGCCCTGTGTATTTTTTTCCCATTCTTTGTGCCTTTTGTACCTTTTCTCACCTCGTTCTGTCTAGGGCACTAAGTACAGTACTGAATTCATTTTAGGAATGAAATTTTCCCTTGTTACCAAACTTAGAAAAAGCATTCACCTGTATATTTAACCGTAACATTGGTTGTAAAGCTTTATAAACGCCCTTAGATACACAGAGGGCATTTCTCTCTGTTCCTAATTTGTAAGGAATGGTAATTATGAATCAATATGAATTCTGTAAATGGAGATGATTCCAATTTGGCCATGGTGTGTTACTCTTCACCGATTGCTAGATTTGATTTGCACCTATTTGTGTACTCACGAGGTACATTGAGCTCAAGTTTTCTGTCTTTTGTAGTATCTTCGGTTTTGGTCGGTAATTTGCATGGAAGTGGGTGAGCAGTTTTCTGGAAGAATATTCAGCTGAAGACAGATAATGTTTTTACCCTTCAATGTTGAAGTAAGGTACCAGTCAGCCCCCTGAGCTGAAGATTCCTTGTTTAAGGAGGTGTTGTGCTATGAATCCTCTTTAAAAATAGATGCAAGACCTTTGCCTGTCAGCAGATCGCCCCTGCATGTTGGACTCAGCCAACCTGTCAGGCCAGCGTCCACTCTGCGTGCCCGGACTCCATTTGCCATTGCTCGTACCCTGAGTCATTCTCATGGCCCTTCACACTGCACATACACCCTCTGTTACGGGATGAAGACAAGGAAGGAAAAGAGCCACGCCCCACCTCAGAGGTTCCCAGGGGACAGTCTACCAAGATTCACCCTCAGAAAATCCACTGGGAAGCCCTGTCGAAAGCTCCGAGTTCATGAGTGACAGTAGTAAGAAGGCTACTCTGGCACCAGCCCACTGTAGAACCTCTCAGTGACAGGAACCACACTTTGGGGGGGTTGTTTAATGAGCTCAAGGAAAGCACAAGAGAATCCCAGGGAGAAGCGAGGAAACTCACTCAGGGGACAGGGCTGACGGTTATGGAGATGGGGCACCAGAAGATGACCACCAGGGACACGTGAGAGTCCCACCTGGAGAACAACAGGCACGAGGATGTGGTGGCAGGTTGGGTGATGTTCCCTTGGGCTGCTCACAGAACCAAGATGTCCCATCAGCACCCCGCAGTAACCCATCTCTTCTGGTTTCCCTGCAGAGTCACCCACCGGGGCCTAAAGGGACCTTTGTATACCTGTGTTAGCAGAGCCGTGGACAAGAGACACACTGGTGTCCCTGAGGAAAGTGGAAATGAGTTGGGGTGTGCAGTCACCTGGAACTGCCCAAAGGGAAACTAGCAGCCTCTGGAATGCAACCCCAGAGCCCTGCTACTCAAGACCCTGGGTGCAGGCAGCTTTACTCCTGG